AGACGACAACACCCTGCCCTGTTTCACACCATTTTTGACAGAAAAAGATTCAGCTACATGGTTATCCCACTTTATGCGAATCGTTTGGTAAATATAACTGTTTAAAAAAAAATCGGCATAAAAGTGGACATAAACCTCTTTTTATCAGAACTCTGAATAATTTGACGTAATGGACACAGTCGAATGCTTTACTTGTGTCTAAAGATAGGTTGCCAGGCAACGAAACATAAGCCCACAGTAGCTATATCGTCCGGGCAGTCAACAAGAGTTGTCGCATATTTTTACTTTTTTTCGGTAATGAAACATTTATAATACATTAAAATCTGATTAAGAGTAACAACTCATTAAGTAATTATCAGAAAATCATTAGAATTTGTTTGGTTTTTATAAAGTTCTGCCCCATGCTAAAGTTTAGTATAGAAAACTTTTAACATCATGGATATAGCTGTTCAAGTCATAAAAATTCATTGAAAATCAATACATTTGTTCGTCTCAAGACCTTAAACTCTATGTATCAATCTGAAAATCAATAGGCTTCTTCATCTCATGACCTTAAACACTGTGTATAAATTTAAAGTCAATCGGATATTAACTTTAGCCTCTCGAGCGTCCACAAGATTTTTTTCAAAGTGATCAAGGGCCATAACTCTGGCAGTAATTATCAGAAATCGCTGAAAATCAATAGGCTTCTTTGTCTCATGGCCTTAAACACTGTGTATAAATTTAAAGGCAATCGGATATTAACTTTAGCCTATAGAGTGTCCATAAGCAATTGTGGAGGCCGGACCACATACAGATCACACGATCACATTCAAATGTTCACAATCGCAATAACTCTAGAAATTATTGATGGAAATTGCTGAAATTCAATAGACCTCTGATTCACAAATTTAAATGATGCATATAAATTTCATACATATCAGTGATCAAGGGCCATAACATTGGCAGTAATTATCAGAAATCGTTGAAAATTGATACACTGTGTATCAATTTAAAGTCAATCGGATATTAACTTTAGCCTCTAGAACATTTAGAAGATTTATCAAAGTGATCAAGGGCCATAACTCTGGCAGTAATTATCGGAAATCACTGAATATCACCAGGCTTCTTCGTCTCATGACCTTAAACACTGTGTATAAATTTAAAGTCAATCGGACATTATAGCCTCTAGAGCGTCCACAAGATTTTTTGAAGTGATTAATGGCCATAACTCTGGCAGTAATTATCGAAAATCGTTGAAAATCAATAGGATTCTTCATCTCATGACCTTAAACACTGTGTATAAATTTAAAGGCAATTGGATATTAACTTTAGCCTCTTGTGGACACCGGACCGATGGACGGGGCGACAACAATATACGACCACATTTCAATGTGGGCGTATAAAAATGCATATAAATTTCATACAGATCGGATGATTACTTTTGTCGTTCAAGCGTTCACAAGGTCCAAAGAAGTGAAACAAGGGACATAACTCTAATTAACAGAAATAGCTGAAATAATCCTTATACAGATTGGATGGAACTTTTGTTGTTAGAGCATTCACAAGGTTCAGTAAAGTAAAACAAGGACCATAAATCTGTCATAACTGCTGTAAACGCATGATTTTGTACCAACATTGATACTACTGTCTACCATTGTGATGTATTCGATAATATTCGTCCATTTTTGTGAAGAAAATCCAAGAATTATTTTTATTTTATCAAAAAAGCACATGTCCCAAAAAACATCGCTGAATTTGTAATTGATTTTGGAGGTGTAACTCTGTATGTAATATAGGAGGTGCTAAAACTTCTGTATAGCAACAATGGAAAATGGATACTAGATAATCGTGACAAAACTCAGCTTTGACAGTACTTTTAGTTGATTCAATCAGTATCAAATAATGTTTTGTTATGTGTGAAAACAATGATCAGGGTTTGTCATTCAATAAAACAAAAGATTAATTAACAGATAATCCTGGGTTTATTGTTATCTTCATAGTTCTATTTACCTAATAGGTGGGGGCCAGATAATTAACTATCAATCACAGGATTAGTGGGGTACCACGAAGTACGGCAAGATGGTATTATTCAACAATGGCCATTGAATAAGGGCTATTTTGCTAAATTTATTAGTAAAATAGTTACCACTGGCCGCGTTAGAGGCGTGAGTGACTGTTGATTAAAGACCTGAAACAATAGAATTTCAACGGGGGGATTTATCTTGACTGCTTACATGGAGATGTCACTGAATAGGAGTGGCTGCTCGTACAGATTCTACTGCATATGAATTTCATGCAGATCGGATGAGCACATGCAACTGGACGCACTATGCACAATCTGTGGAGCGGTTAAAGGTATGAGCCACGATTCTCTTTACAAAGAGATCGGTTTCATTCATTTAAAAGGATGTCGACGAAGACATAAACTTATTCTTGTTTATAAAATCCTTAATAACACTACACCAAATTATCTTTCTACACTACTTCCACTCCCAAGAAAATCTTCGTTCAATTTTAGAAATATAAATGATTTCACTGAATATCGGTGTAGAACAAAATTATTTTCCAACGCATTTGTACCATCCGCAACAAAGGAATGGAACCGGTTAGACCAGTCAACAAAACGTGCAACAAGTCTCTCTTCTTTTAAACAAAAGCTCTCCGACATGACTCTAAACCCCCAAAACATTTCTACATTGGCTCTAGGAAAACTGAAATTATCCACAGCAAACTACGACATTTATGCAGTGACTTAAATGGTCACCTGTTTTTTAGACACATCTCTGAAAATCCAGCTTGCAATTGTGGTCACCGTTTCGAGGACAGCAAACACTATCTTTTACACTGTCCAAACTTCAATACTTTTCGACGAAAAACCATTTCTACATTACCTGATGAGTACAAGAACAGCAAAACTCTACTCTACGGCTTGCATGACTCCACAAACGAAGTTAATAACCTTATCTTTACAACAGTTCAATCATACTTTAATTTAACTAAATGATTCTAAACTATTATTGTTGTTATTATTATTATTATTATTATTATTACATACTGTAATACTTTACGTGTATTCAACTAAGCAAGGGTTGTATATATTGTATATACCGCTTTTCATTATTAGCATATAATTTGTATTATAAATAGGGATAGGGGTCTGACATAGGCATTTTCCCATTCATTTATAGTGAATAAAATATGTTTATAAAAAAAAATTGGAGGGTTCACAAGCTTCGACAAAGTAAAACAAGGGTCATAACTCCAGAAGTAATTAAGAGAAATTTCTGAAATTTAATAGGCTTCTTTGTTTCACTAATTTAAATGATGTATATAAATTTCATACATCAATTTCAAAACAATCAGATAAATGTAGTCTGTAGAGTGTTCACAAAAAATTATGGTCGAATGGATGGACGGAGGGATGCATGGAGCGACAGAAATATACGACCTCATTTCACTCAACCCATTTTCAACTCTAGCCTCTACCGTGTTCACAAGCCAATTGTTGACGGAACTACGGCCAGAGTGACGACATAATACATCCATACTGAAATGTGGGTGTATAAAAATGGTGTCTCATATTCAAAGTTTAGTGTTAGACGGACCATATTAGATTTTGAATTGAAACTTGCAAACCTACACTTCATTGGAAACTCTGCAATATTGAACCATAGGGCAGGAGCCAAGGGGGTTAACCTAGCTGAAAAGTGTACCCATTTTCTCCTATTTGGTATCAATGTATGTATATCTGGTATCATCAGAATATAAGTCTGCCAGGTTTCTGGTGGTGGGTGTGGTATTCCACGCCCTAAATGCCATGCCCCCAAACTAGTCTAGATTAGCTCAAAAGTGTACCACATGAAAATCACACAGCAATGTACCATACATCTTCAGGTATTATTACAAAAACACTCTGACAGACATTTCTAGTGGTGGGTTATCCTTGACAGAGCTATGTAATTGCCAGACATTTGTAGTGATGGAGTATCCCTGACAAGAGTTATCTGATTTCCAGAACAAAGCTAGGCTAGATTAGCTCAAATCTGTACCACCTAAAACAGCTTTGGAGTTGTTCAGTGCCACCACGGGAATCACGAATGACCACTGCCAGACAGTTTGTGCGGTGGGTTGCCCCTAACAGACACGCCCAAAATAACACAACCCCCAACTAGGATAGATTAGTCGGCACTGTTCCTGTGGTCCAAAAAATTAAAAATTGTGCCAGGATGCGTAGAATACTAATACCTAGCACATATGGAAGATGCGATAAACTGCGGTTGTAGGAACAATTTTATTTTTCAAAAACGCATTTTAGCCCCATAAAATGTTTTTTGCCCAAAAATCAATTTCTTGCAATCACAGTTTATTGCCTCTTCCATACATGCTAGGTATTAGTATCCTATGCATCCTGGCTAAAAATCTAATTTTTTAGAACCCGGGAACAGTGCCTACGAAGCTAGCCTAGTTGAGGCGTTATGGGTAACCCACCGCACAAACTGCCTGGCAGTGGTCATTCATGACTCCTGTGGTGGTACTGAACAACTCCAAAGCTGTTTTAGGTGGTACAGATTTTAGCTAATCTAGCCTACCTTTGATCTAAATACTAGATAACTGTCAGGGGTACCCCACCACTAGACATGTCTGTCAGAGTGTTTTTGTAATACCTGAAGATGTACGGTACACTGCTGTACGATTTTCATTTGGTAAACTTTTGAGCTAATCTAGCCTAGTTGGGGGTCATGGCATTTAGGGCGTGGAATACCACACCCACCACCAGAAACCCGGCAGACTTACATTCTGATGATACCAGATATACATACATTGATACCATATAGGAGAAAATTGGTACACTTTTCAGCTAGGTTGACCCGCTGGGCTCCCGGTCTATCATAGGCTGCCATTTACCCATATAATCATGTTCAAACAAATCAAATATCTGAAGTTTAAATTCAGATATTAATGTCAATACGAACACACCTATGGTTACTTTCCCATTAAATGAGAAATATTTGACTTACCCGCAACTAGTTTCTAACATGGACCCTTCAACCTGTAATGAAGCCATCCCAAAGTCGGCCACACGGATATTATTTTTCTCATCTAGTAACAAATTCTCTGGTTTTAAATCGCGATGACTGTAAAATAAAACACAAGGCAGAATTTTTATTAGTCAGATAATTTACAAGGGAATGATTTCAAAATGTCAAGTGCCGGATTTTGTAGTAATATCGTCGTTGCGACATTGTTTTTAAATTTATAGACAAGGAATAGAGATATAAGATGGTTTAAACAATATTTGTATCTTTACAAATTATTTTCTATTGTCAGTATATGAGCTATGGTATGAGAATAACAGGAAAGAGGGTCTAAGTTCAAGGATAGATTGTGTCAAAAAACATGTGACTGGAAATTTACCTATTGCATCATTTGGTTTAGTTTGACCAATCTCTGTAATTGTTTACATCATATTTGACCAATTAGATAATTGAAGGTCCAAAACCCAAAGCTACAAAACTATCATATTGGTGGGCGATTGTCAGACAACAGCTTGATTCCAGAAGGGGAAAGATGTAACAGTTTCTATCAGCAGACTCGCCAAGTCTGCCTGGCTAGTGTTTGAGAATGACTTTATTATTAATTAATTCTTTAAATGACATCTAGAAGCACGGTTTAACTATTCATAACAAAACACAACACAAGGTATATATAATAATAATAATAATAATTTATTTATAGAGCGCCTATAATCCAATACTTAGATTGCTCTATGGCGCTATTACATTATTGTAAAGGTATAAAATATAAAACATCTCAATAATAAGAACATTGCACAATTAGAATAAAATATGGTATACAATAATAAAAAAGTAAACTCTGAAAAAGCTTAAGCATTTAGCAATTAAAATGGCTTTTAAAAAGGTGGGTCTTTAACTTTTTCTTAAAAACAGGCAGGGAAGGGGAATCTTTAATTTCAGAAGGTAACTTATTCCATAGTTTAAAAGCAGCAAAACTATAAGACCTTTCCCCAAATGAGGATTTTGCATGATAGGGCATTAGCAAGTTTTTGTTTTGTGATCTAAGTGTGCGTGTAGGAATATATGGGGTCACTAGTTGTTTGAGGTAGTCAGGTGAGTCTTCAATATTAATGACAGCATATGTTAGAGAGAGTATTTTAAATTCAATTCTGCTAGTAACTGGCAGCCAATGCAGTTGGTGTAAAATAGGGGTGATATGTTCACATAGTTTAGTTCTAGTAATGACTCGAGCGGCTTTGTTTTGAATTTTTTGTAATCTATTTAGCTGAAGAGAAGGCAAGTTAAACAATAAAGAATTACAATAATCAAGGCGGGAGGTTACAAGTGAGTTGACAAGCATTTTAGAAGTATCAGTATCAATAAAGTTTCTTGTGCGACCTATATTATATAGTTGAAAATTGGCGGATTTACACATATTCGACACATGTTCTTTCATGTCAAAATTTTTCCCAAATTTAACACCGAGGTTCCGTACACTGTTACTTGGATGTATGACAGCACCACCCACTTTAACATATTTTGTAATAATTGATGAGAGTCTATGATCGGTTCCTATTTTTAATAATTCAGTTTTATCATCGTTTAGTTTTAAAAAGTTGTTTTTCATCCAGTTTTTTACATTATCAATACATTTCTCCAACTGAATGATTTGTTTACTTTCGTTGTCGGGTGTTACAGCCACATACAGTTGTGTGTCGTCTGCGTATATATGATAGTCTAAATTGTGATCTCTAAGAAGTTTACCAAGAGGGCAAGTATAAGCCGTAAATAATAACGGACCGAGTACTGATCCTTGCGGAATTCCATATTTTATGTCTACTGGTTTTGATGACTGCTTATTTATGACAACAGACTGTTTTCGTGAAGTGAGATATGATTCAAACCATTTCAGGGCATAGCCAGTAATTCCAAAATAATCTTTTAAACGTGTAAGTAGAAGTGCTTGGTCGATGGTATCAAAAGCAGCACTTAGGTCAAGAAGAACAAGAAAAACTACATTTTTATTATCTAGATTAATTAAAATATCATTTTGCACTCGGAGTAAAGCCGTTTCTGTACTATGGAGTTTTTTGTATGCGGATTGAAAGGGTTCGTCCAGATGCTGAAATTTTAAATGATCTTTAAATCTAACAGATACTGCTTTTTCCACAAGTTTAGATAAAAATGATAGGTTAGATACTGGCCGATAATTTTTGAAGATGTTACTGTCTAAAGTACTTTTTTTGATTAAGGGAAAAACTAAAGCTTTTTTCAGAACATCAGGGAAGGTACCAGTTGATAATGATGTATTTACAATATAAGTAAGAACAGGACACAGTTCTTCGATGCACAGTTTCAGAAGCGGTGATGGAAGCGGATCTAACTCGCATGTCGAAGACGATGATTTGGCAACGAGTTGCTTGATTTCTTTGTCTGATGTCGGGGAAAATTCTGACATGACTTGAGAAGGTGGTGATATAACAGATAGACATGTTGTCTCGGAGTTATTGTCTGTTTCAAGTTCAGTCCTAATATTATCAATCTTGTCACAAAAATATTTAGAAAACTCTTCAGCAAGGTCAGCATCATGGGTGTAATCTGGTAGTATTTGTTGATTATGCGGTTTCAGGATACTATTGACTATGTTTTGAAGTACTTTTGGGTTATCCTTATTAACATTGATTTGTTCTAAAATATAGTCTTTTTTTACTCTACCAATCAAATTATTTGTTTTGTTCCGCGCTTGAGTATATAGCTGTCTATTAATCTCAAGATTAGAATTTCGCCAAAGTCTTTCCATGGACCGTCTATGGATTTTACTCTGTCGAATTTCATCAGTAAACCATTTACGATTTGGTCGAATAGTAAATTTGGCTTTTTTAATGGGAGCATGGTCATCCAGAATATTTCTTAGAGTGTCATTATAAAGATTAATTTGTTGATCAATATTTGCTCTGTCGAGTTCCTTTAATATTTTAGAGTTAATAATATCTGATCGAAAATCTTCAATGTTAATATTACGTATTTTTCTATATGTAATTGTCTGTTGTTTAGGTATGGGTTTTTTTATATTGAGCTTGGTAAATATGCTAAAGTGGTCTGAGACCAGGTCATCACAAATATGGACATCTTCCACAGTGTCGTCTAAAACCCTAGTTATCACCACATCAAGTAAATGACCTTTTCTGTGCGTACTGCCAGTAGTATGCTGTTTAAGATTAAATGAATCTAAAATATCATAAAATCTATTTGATATGCTACACTTGACATCATCGAGATGTAGATTTAAATCCCCAACAAGTAGTAAACGAGAAGATGAGTCAAAAGTTTCGTACAGTAGATCAGTGAATTCACTGAGAAAAACATCACGACTGGATGAAGGTGGACGGTATAAACAAACAATTCTAAGGACTTCATTTGTACATTTTACAAGTATGTCAAGGTGCTCAAAAGACGTGAAAGGACCAAGGGACTGATTTTTTGATGTTTCTAGTACCGATTTATGAAAAACAGCTAGTCCGCCTCCTCTACGACCTATTCGATTTTCAGTAACTGCAGAATAATTTGATGGCAAAAGTTTGTGTAGAGTAACCGTATCATTTGGTTTAAGCCATGTTTCAACGGCTACAAATATGTCCAAATCATTATCTAGCAAATATTCCTGAAGTTCATCAGTTTTATTCCTAATTGACTGACAATTTAAAACACAGAGATTAAATGAATTTAGTACATTACCAGACTTTTCACTACTTTTTGTATCAATAGATCTGAGGTTGTTATGGTTAACACCCCTGTCTTTTCTTGTTGGTCTAGGTTTATTAGTTACCCTTATTTTAGGTTGTATAACTTCAAACAAAGTACAAATATTTTCTTTGGTGTTTACTATAAGATCTGAAAACTGTTCAATGTTGTTTTTCATCCTGTGATCTATAAACTGTAGGTTTTTATTCAAGCTGATTAGTTTTTCTCTACAATAGGTTATCATGATTATTACTCACTTCATGAACTCACCACACTTTTGTTATTTTAAAATTTGCAAATTGTACAAAATCTAAAACACTTCCAATAGAAATTTTTGTATAAAAATGAGCCAAGGTAACTCCCCAAGTCACAAGTAAAAGATAGTAGCTAAAATCAATTTAAATCTATTAAAATTATAAGAAAAACCAGAGAGCAAGACACAGTGCAACCACTAGGCAGCCATCTTACTTATGGATATAACTACTTCTCTATTATTTAATAACGACGTTTTGTAACACATACAGGTCACGTTTTCAAGTTAATGATAAATATCCATCTAGTCAGCCTATTTATACATATTTTAGCTTACACCAACTTAATTAGTAATCAGACGAAACCATTTAAATGATTAGAAACACCTACAATAACAATAAATAATACAAACAATAATAATGACTGAACCCTTCAGTAGGATAATAACAGCTAATCAGTGATAGAGATCAAAGACCAGCCTTAATAGGGTTTCACCATATCACATCTTAATCAGACCAACATTAATAATCACAACTTCATAATTGTTATCTTAGAACTAGGCAGTAATACCGAAAATATGATATGTTTCAAATAATAGAGACAACACCTTCAAACCAACATGCCAACTAATAGGGTTATACAAAATAAAAAGAATAAAATAAGCATTATAAACCTTAATCAGATAACAGGCCCCACTGCTTTAAATTAATTAAACCTAAGTTTTAATGTATATAACTATTATCTATTAATTACACCAGGGGGAACGAGAATATAAACATGTGAGCAAAAAAAAAACTACCATATTATTAATATATACTCTGCATATTAAGCGTTAAAAGTAACTATTAAATTGTTAATGTATAACTAGAATGTAACCGTTAATGACGTACACAGTTCTCACAATACATAACACTCCGACTTAAACAATCAAGTCATCCCAAGCATTGGATATATATAGACCAGTGTCTCTATTAATAGTCGGGTTGTGTCTACGGATTTCTATAGCTTCGCGGATATGTAACTGTTTGCTGGACTTGATGTTTTTGGCTAGAATCTGTTTGTCTCGCCATTTTATGGTATGATTATGGTATAAATAGGCTGACTAGATGGATATGTATCATTAACTT